TTAGTTCAACCATTGTGGAAGACAGTGTGGCAATTCCTCAAGGACCTAGAAATAGAAATTCCATTTGACCCAGCAATCTCATTACTGGGTATATATCCAAAGGATTACAAAACGTTCTACTATAAGAAAACTTCTTAAGGTGATAAGGAATTTCATATCCTGAGACTATGCTCCTTCAGCATAGTCTCAGGATACAAAACCAGTGTGCAAAAATCACAAGAATTCCTATACACCAATAATAGACAAGCAGAGAGCCAAATCGTGAGTGAATTCCCATTCATAACTGCTACAAAGAAAATAAAATATCTAGAAATACAACTTATAAGGGATGTAAAGGACCTCTTCAAGGAGAACTACAAACCACTGCTCAAGGAAATAAGAGAGGACACAAGCACTGGAGAACATTCCATGCTCATGGATAGGAAGAATCAATATCTTGAAATGGCCATACTGTCCAAAGTAATTTATAGATTCAAGCTATTCCCATCAAACTATCATTGACTTTCTTCACAGAATTAGAAAAAACTACTTTAAATTTCATATGGAACCAAAAAAGAGCCTGCATAGCCAAGACAATCCTAAGCAAAAGAACAAAGCTGGAGGCATTACGCTACCTGACTTCAAACTCTGCTACAAGTCTACAGTAACCAAAACAGCATGGTAATGGCACCAAAACAGCTATATAGACTAATGGAACAGAACAGCAGCCTCAGAAATAACACCACACATGTACAACCATCTGATTTTTGACAGACCTGACAAAAACAAGCAATGGGAAAGGATTCTCTATTTAATAAATGGTGTTGGGAAAATTGGCTCACCATATGCAGAAAACTAAAACTGGACCCCTTCCTTACACCTCATACAAAAATTAACTCAAAGTGGATTAAAGATTTAAATTTAAGACCTAAAACCATAAAAACCCTAGAAGCGAACCTAGGCAATACCATTCAGGACAAAGGCATGGGCAAAGACTTCATGACTAAAACACCGAAAGCAATGGCAACAAAAGCCAAAATTGACAAATGGGATATAATTAAATTAAGAGCTTCTGCACAGCAAAAGAAGCTATCATGAGAGTGAACAGGCAACCTACAGAATGGGAGAAAATTTTTGTAATCTACATATTGGACAAAGGTCTCATAACCAGAATGTACAAGGAACTTAAATTTACATGAAAAAAAAACCCAACCCCATCAAAATCAAAAAGTGGGCAAAAGATATGAACAGATACTTCTCAAAGGAAGACATTTATATGGCCAACAAACGTGTGAAAAAAAGCTTATTATCAGCGGTCATTATGGCCAACAAACGTGTGAAAGAAAGCTTGTGATCAGCAGTCACTAGAGAAATGCAAATTGAAACCACAAGATCTCATCTCACGTCAGTTAGAACGTCTGGAAACAACAGATGCTTGTGAGAATGCAGAGAAATAGAAATGCTTTTACACTGTTAGCGGGAGTGCAAATTAGTTCAACCACTGTGGAAGACAGTGTGGT